TGTGATTGAGAGGGGGGGAGAGGAGGGAAGGGAAGGGGAGAAAGGAGCAGTCAGGCTAGACTAGTTCAGAACTTCTGGGTCTGGATGGACAATCCCAAGGAGTAGGGGATGGGGCTCTGAGGTGTCGTCGAGTTAATCAAACACGTGGCGGAATTTGGAGACTGGTTGTCTAGATTTGCTGACGTGGTATTGTGGATGGGCCCTAGGAGCGGTAGTTCGAGGAGAAGTGGCTGAGGAGCATGGCGTGGTCTGCCGCGCAGCCAGACGAGCCCTGCGCCCTCTGCAGAACGGACCTCTGACGTCTCGCCAGGTGGAGTAAGCGTTTATCGAGGGTTTCGGTCCGAAGTGACTGTGAAGAATGGGTTGAATGCCAGTTCGATGCCACCAAAACGAAATAGCGGCAATCATGCCAATCACTGTAAGTGTTATGAATGAAACTGCCGAGTAGCGCGGAGGGCAATGGCGAAACTGTGAACGAGTGAATGACAATAAAATGAAAGACAGAACAATGTATAAGAAATCTAGGGTGATCCTGGACGTAGGATTTAAAGGTTCGGGAAAGGTGTCGAAGGGCCTCGATGTGTCGAACCGAGGTCCGGAAAGGCCCAGGAGGCTCGAACTGAAAGGTCTAGAATCCTATCGCTGGTTCGGGACTGTTCGAGTCGTACGCTCTGTAGCAAGCCTCAGTAAGGAATTACTAATTCCTTACGGTAAGCTTAGTGTTCAGATCAGTAACAATTCTCCGATGGTAACGATTTTTGTGCGAGCTGAAATTTTGAATCGACGCGGCAAGCTCAAAGTTTCCCGCCCACCACATCTGACAACCATGCCAGGTTGCGCGTCTCGATCAGCCACTACAATCCCCCGAGTCGTCATGCATTTCTTCCGTCCCCCCCCCCCCCGCCCCCCCCTATGGTGCAGCGCGTTGCATAACTAATTCAGTACGTTACGATGTGGTACAGTCTGGTATTACTACCTCCCAAACTTCCGCTCTGAACAGAATCTGGGTAGCTCAGTCTGCCCTGGAACGGAGTTCTCAAGGCTATTCACGAGGTTACCTAGGCTTACAAAGAGCTGCTGACAGGTTGTCGAGTGTTCTGACCTGCTTTCTCAGTGCTGTTTGACGATGACCTTCGCTGTTTGGCATAGCCTTGGACTCTTCTTTCGTATGCTCTAGCCCTAGAGCTTTGTTCCTATCTCGTCCTAGATTTCGGTTTGTTTGGCTGGTGGGTACAGCGTGCTCTGTTCTGATTTGACGTTCAAGCAGAGACGTTCAGGGATTGCCGGGACTTCCTTTTCACGCTTTTTAGCAGGGATAACTGGTCACTTTCAAAAATGGAAGGTCGATCCCCTATACTCCGTGAGGGTGCTCCGATTATGTTCAAGTCCCCTAGTCTTTATCCCAAATCTCCCGCCTTTATTCCGTTCGGCGCCAACGATGACGAGCTGGAGAAGCGGAAGATTAGGGAGGAACGTCAGGCTGCTCAGCGAAGGTTATTCGCAGACCGTATGAAAGAAGCGAATAAGAAGCGTTCTAGCTGCGACCCTCAAGAGATGTCTGGAGATTCGCTCCTCAGCCTGTATCAGAACTGTACTAGGCTGGCGGCTGAGAATGTAAGTCATCGGCGATGAGCATCCTGTTGGTCATGCTGCTCAATCATCGTTACGACGATGCTAGTAGCACGAACCGTACTTGCGTGCAAGGATATGATGCTGACATCGCGTACCGCGGTCTAACCTGTGCAGAAAATCACTCAGAAGAACACATGGGATCTCGACCTTATCGATCACATGACGGAGATTGTCATGGCCGACAGCGAGAAGGATACGGAAACCAACTTTCAGAAGGTTCGATTATCTGCTGATTGGCCGCATCGTGCGGCCTTCATTGCATCTAGTGTTGCCGATCTTCAGCAGCATCTAATCTGATGTCCAGGTATCAGTGAAATGCGATACTTTACTGAATAATTCTACTGCGATTTTTTATTGCAGGCTAGCTGCACGCTGGAGGCTGGCGTGAAGATCTACTCGACCCGAGTCGACTCTATTCATTCCGAGACGTACAAAGTGCTCAGCGGTCTGACGCGAGCAGGCGATACAGGTGTGTGGAATGGACCATAGGGAAAGTTGTATTTTGAGTCGACTCAAAATACCATTGGGAAAGGTCCAAGCAGGAAACATGCAGCGCTTCCCTTCCGTCGCTTCAGTAGCCTGCTGCTGCTGCTGTCACTCTGCTGTCACTCACTCTTTTACCCTTCAATTTTGCAGGGGATGATGAAGACGGTGCGGACCAGGGAGAAGGCAGCGGCAGCCGACGGGAGTCACAGAAGAAGGTACGATTGATGTCTGTTTCAAACTCATGAATGACTGAGAGGGGTCTGACTCGTTGAAGCATGGGGGTTCGGTTGATGGAGATTGGGATGGCAGACGCATGGCAGTGCTTCGCATTTCCCCTTCATCAATCCGTCTTAACAAACTCCCGTTTTGCATGCAGCTGCCTGTGACGTCCAGCACGCTGGAGGATAATCCTGACCAGATCAATGTCAAGAAGCTTGAGCGTGAGTCGGCTGCGCCGTGTAGCATTGCCTTCTCTTCTTTTCGTCTTTTCTTCTCTTTTCTTTCCTTTTATACTGAGGTTCTTTCGTTCTAACCGAGTATTTGTATGTGGACCTCCAGGTGCAATTGTCACGGACCCACTCTTCACGAAAACGTCGGGTCAATTCGATGAGGGCGGAGCAAGTGGATTGCTCCTGTACAATCTCCCCGTGTTCAACGGCTGCGAGATCATGTTTGATTCGGAAGCTGTCGTCGTGGACCCTTTACGCACGCAAGGAGAGGAGAGGGCGAAGGAGTATGTGGACATCTCTTTCGCATCTCGTGAGTGCTGCATTTCCCTTAGCCCGTGTGTTTGGCGTTGACGCGTCTTGACTACTTGTTCTTGCTGATTCTGAAGAGCCGGGATCTTGACTGATCACAAGCATCCCCCTATCAATTTCGTCTGGATTCCTTTCTCGCCTTTCGTCCAATGATCCGTTGAACTGAACTGTGGCACACAAGGCAAGTCAGCCACTGGCGGCAGGCACATCTGTGCTGATATCCTCTAAGAGCGTTCCGATTCGCAGGCATACATGTTTCGTTATGGGTAGAGGATCACACTGACGTCGTGCTCCCTGGCAGGTGAAGTGGATGATTCCGTTTCACGTGGGTATTGAATCACACTCTTTGCTCACACTGCTTGGCAGGCGAAGTGGAGCACCTTCTAGGCATGCATGACCCCGAGAGCTGGGAGGTCACTCCGTCCATCTCTGCTCTCTACGACCTCGCTGAAGACCACCGCTGGAAGGCAGCCGTTGGTGCCATGGATTCTTCTCATGACGCCGATGCGAATGTTGCCAAGAACGGAGATGCTTTTAAGGGTTTTGATGGAGGGAACGATCCAGTGGGTGGGGTGGGGGGTTCCTTTCCTCCTGGGGAAGAGAATGACGACGGTTCTGTGGTCGATTTTGGTGGTGGTGATGATGGGTGGAACGACGACGGGTGTGGGTTCGGTGGTGGTGCTTCATTTCCTGGTGCTCCGGAGATGGTACCAGCTGGGGATTCTGATGGGGAGAGTGAATCTTCTGGTGTTGATGATGGCATGGACACCGCGGATTGGCTGGCTGCTGGGATGGGTATGACGAGGCTCAAAGGGAACAACGCATGGGCTGGTCCTAAGCACTGGCACTTTGTTAAGTCCAAGGAGGAGGCACCTGCAGCCGCTCCAGAGCCCAAGGGGAGGAAGAAGAGGGCAGCAAAGGCGGAACTGATCGACTACTCAGACCCCAAGGTTGACGAGTCGTTGTTCCAGGCTCCCAAGGCGTTGAAAGAGATTCAGTTGACTAAGGCTGGGCGTAAGGTGGTGAATACTTTGCTGCCGAAGGACTATCACTACGATGGGAGGAAGTTTGCTACTGTTTTCATGAGCCCAGATTGGAGCTTCCTGGCTCGGAGGGCCAAGGGGGGTGGAGGAGCGAGGCAGAGGTTTGGGGGTGATGCAGGCTTTGAGAACGGTGCAGATGGGGAAGGGTTTGCAGGTTTCGGTGGTGGAGATGATGGGTGTGGGAATGGCTGGGGAGGAGACGAATGTGCTGATCCGTTTGACTATGGGGATGATTTCGATGGGCAAGCGGATGCAGCAGAGGCCAGGCCAGCAGATGCCTTGATGGAGGATCTGGTGCCGATGCCAAAGAAGGTGAGAATCTGCGCCAGCACTGTCCTCGCATTCGTTCCAGATATCTGCTCTTGTTTTTGCTTGCTAATTGCCATGCTGACGGTGCAAGTCCTGTAACTGGTTCTGCTACCCTTGTCTTCTGACCCTGACGCCCTGTACGCTGCTTTTCTAATCATCTCAAACACTCATGTTCACCAATTGGAGCAGGCGCAGAAGATTGACGTCAATTACGCAAGGCAGTCAAAGCAGGTGGATGTGAAGATTCTGAAAGACACGATCTGGGTGGAGCTGAAACGCCACCAGATTTACTACAAAGAGGAGAAGGAGCGGGATGAGCGATCCACTGGCACCGGCCCGATCAGCTTCGATCGGGTGCTCCACAATTTCCCTGCGGATTGCAAGGCGGCTGCGCTGAGTGACATTTCAGTGCACCTGTGCTTTATCTGTGTGCTCCACCTGGCGAACGAGCACGATTTGAGCTTGCATGCATCGGAGGATATGAACGAGCTCAAGGTTCGCCTCCCTGTAGAGGTATAGAGCAGAGACAAATGCTTATTGCTTCTTACAAATTACACACTCCTGTGTCGCTAGCTTTGGTTGTCAAACGTCTTAGCTGCTCCTTGACATGAGTAATCACCATACCGTTTCACACTGCCATCAGGCAGCAGTGCACTAAAGGGGGCCATCAGGCAATGCAGGGAAGAGCATCTGGTGCACTGGAATGGAGGCAACATTCCCAGCCTCACAACAGCAGCTACCATATATACCAACCAGAATAGACCAACCAGCCATGCAAGCAGGATCTTTATTATGTACCAGAAAGAAAAGAAACAAGACGGAATCACTGTACTATCAACCACTGTGAATGATGCATCACGGACTATGGATTCCACCAAGCTTTCCAGCCAACCTCAAAGCTTAGGATAAACCTGTGCATTATATAGACATCATTGGGAAACCCGGCTCCAGTGCTCTGCCCTCGCATGACCAGCACAACTGCCTGCTGCTATCTGTTGCTTCCGTGTATAGAGTTCCAATCTGGAATACCTCCAAGCTGGACTCTGTTGTATAGAGCCCGCTGGAGCAAGTGCTAGGTGCACCCTGCAGGCACTAGTGGGTGCAGTCTCCCACCCCTTTCCTCCTCTCCCCTTCCTTCTTGTGAAGTTCCTCCTACCCCTCATCAAGATGTTGTACCGATGCATCAGGCACACCTGGCAGGCACCAGTGGCTGCAGCCCCGCTTCCTACCTTTCCCCCTCGTTCTCAGCTGAAGCTTCTCATGTAAAGTTCCTCCTCACTCCCATCAAGATGTTGTACAGAACATCGGACCAGGCGTCAGGCACTCCCGGCAGGCACCAGTGGCTGCAGTCCCGCCCGTTCAGCCCCAGGTGGGCGTCGGGCCTCATGGCGCTCATGTAGGTGACCTCTGCCACGCGCATTGTAGACCGCTTCATCACTGTCACCTGGTGGTTGGACGAGAGCAAGCAGCGGGTGGGAGGGCGGGAGGCAGAGGCATAAACAGAGACTGTCAGCGTCGGGCCTCATGGCACTCACGTAGGTGACCTCTGCCACCCTCATAGTTGACCTTTTCATCACTGTCACCTGGTGGGTAGGGGTGGAGATAGAAGGGGCGAAAGGGAGAACAGGTCAACCCCAGGTGGGTATCCGGCCTCATGGCGCTCATGTGGGTGACCTCAGCCACCCTCACTGTTGACCGCCTCATCACTGTAACATCCCCCCCTTACACCAACACCCAACACCCAACACCGTATCTGTTGCTTCCTGGCTGTAGTATGAATGAAGCTCATGAGGGTTTCGGGTACGGAGGAAGGCTGTTGAGGGCTCATGAGGGACCCTCAAAAGACGTCTACGCTGAAAGTGGAGAGCGTTTCCGTCCCTATGAGTCAACTCCGCCGCACACCGAGCACTTTGCACCGAGAACTTTGCACTGAGAGCCAGCTTATTATACGCACAGCAGTACGTGCTCCCTTCCCTCTATACTTGTTTCTTCATGGCTGGGAGTACGAATGAAGCTCATGAGCGTCTTGTCCGAGTTGATTGACTTTTGTGTCAAACACAGAACAACCTTTGGGGCCTTCCCTCCATACCTGTTTCTTCATGGCTGGGAGTATGAAGCTCATGAGTGTCTTTTCCGAGTTAACGTTCGTGTCGAATGGTCGAGTGATGCTGCACAAGACAATGTCTTGTCTGAGTTAACATCCGACGACATTCCGTTGCATGGTCCACGGAATGCCTTCCGTGGACCAAGGAGGGAGAGAGACTTCGCTGTCACCTGAGTACAACGTAAGTCCTTGTATCGAGTTACCTTCGATACAAGCACACCCTGAAAAGGCCCTTTCTTCGTTACCTCGATACAAGCACGTACTTGTTTCTTCATGGCTGGGAGTATGAAGCTCATGAGCGTCTTGTCCGAGTTAACGTTCGTGTCGAATGGTCGAGCAACGTTGCAGAACGCCTTCTCGTGCACTGGAGAGAAGGTGAAGAAAACCGCTGTGCCCTTGTAGTTCGCTTTGGCGAAGTAGTCCCGCACGGTTACCAGCGCTTTGCTCATCACTGGAATCGGGTACCAGGGGGAGGTCTGGTCTGCAGGCTGGGGGATGCGGGGGTTGGTGATGGGGGGAGGGGGGGGGAAGGGAGAAAGCGAGGGGGCAATGAGGAGGGGAATCTAGACTGGGCGATGCTGCAGAACGCCTTCTCGTGCGCAGGAGAGATGGTGAAGAAGACCGAACTGCCCTTGTAGTTGGCTTTGGCAAAGAGGGGGGAGAAGCAAGGGGAACTGAGGGGGGACGATCGAGTCGACTCAAAACCGAGCCTTGGGAACTGAGGGGGGACGATCTAGACCGAGCCACACTGCAGAGGGCCTTCTCATGCACTGGAGACAAGATGAAGAAGACAGCTGTGCCCTTGTAATTGGCTTTTGGCAAAGTAGTCTCACACGGTTACCAGCGCTTTGCTCATCACTGGTATCGGGTACCAGGAGGAGGTCTGGTCCGCGGGCTGCAGGGGGAAGACAAAGGGGGGGTTGGGGAGGGGGGAGTGAGCGGAGAGAGTGTGGGTACCAGGGGGAGGTCTGGTCCACGGGCTGCAGGACAGGGGGAAATGAAGGAGTGAGTGGGAAAGGGGAGGGGGAAGTGAGTGGGGAGAGTATGGTACTGGCATCGGTGTAGGGCAGCAAGGCATTGCTCACCATCACGACTCTGCATTACTGTTACAATGTGGTACCGTGGCAACGGGACACGGTTACACATAACCATCTCTCACCGGGTGGAAGAACCTGTGATCCGCGTTGAAGACGATGGCAATGGTGTACGGCAGCAAGGTGGCCCACTTGGGTACTGCTGGAGCATACATTGTGACATGCTGCATGGCACACACAGAGCCAACAACACACTTACGGGATGGAAGATCCAGTGCCAAAGGCGTCGGTGTACGGCAGAAAGAGTGCAGAGTGCCATTACACACTGTAACACTGTTACAACAGGCCTCAAGCCCTCACCGGGTGGAAGAACCAGTGGCCCGCGTTGAAAGGCAATGGCGTTGGGGTATGGCAGCAAGGTGATGGGTGAGCGCAACTCCTATGACGTAGCGACACTATAGCTTGTAACACGGTGTTGCAGTGACGTGGTAACCAGCTCACTTACAGGGTGGAAGAACCAGTGGCCGGCATTGAAGACAATGGCGTTGGTGTACGGCAGCAAGGTGGCCCACTTGGGGTTCATCGTGTAGACTGCTGTCTTGTGGTTGGTCTGAGGTGGGGGGAGGGAGAGAGGGAAAAGGGAGGGAGAATCTAAGCTGATTTTGAGCAAGGTGGCCCACTTGGGGTTCATGGTGCAGTAAACCGCTGTCTTGTGGCTGGTCTGTGGTGGGGAGGGATACGGAGGACGAGAAGGGCGGGAAGGGGTTGCAGAAGGGAAGTAAGTGTCTCGTGTACGGCAGCAAGGTGGCCCACTTGGGGTTCATGGTGTAAACGGCAGTCTTGTGGTTGGTCTGTTGGAGGGACGGGTGGGGAGAGATAGAGGGAGAGATAGAGGGAGAGACAGAGGGAGAGACAGAGGGAGAGACAGAGGGACAAGGCAGTGTGGCACGGGGGTGAGTTTCTCGAGTGTGTTGCGGTTGTGGGGCCAAAGATGTACACTGTCTAAAGAGTGAATCAAACTCGATATAAGCCATTTTCAAGCAATCACTACACTCACGGGTCGTGGGCTCTGCACCAGGCATCCACTGTTGATACAGTGAGGGTGGTGACGTTTTGATTCCGCACAAAACTTGTAGTATACACTCACAGGTATTTTGTGCACTGTATATCCAACAGCACTTTTAGTACACTCACATATCATGGGCTCTGCACCCAGGTATTCGCTGTTGACGGTGAGAGTGGCGAGGCTGCAATTCAGCATAAACGCTGGAGTACACTATATATCCAACTTTAGCACTTTCAGTACACTCACACAATCACTTCTCTCACACATTCGGTGCACTCACATATCGAGGGCTCTGCACGAGGTATCCACCGTTGACAGTGAGGGCGGTGAGGTTGTAGTTGGGGGCATACCTAGTAGTACACTAAATTTATAACTTATGCACTTTCGGTACACTCTTACAAACCATACACTCACATATCGTGGGCTCTGCACCAGGTATCCGCTGTTGACAGTGAGTGTGGTGAGGTTGTAGTTGGGTACAAAGTACGACCCCAGCCGCCTGCTTCCTATTTGCACCTTCTTAAACTGGTGTTGAGGGGGAAGAGGGGGAGGAGAGAGAGTGCACAAGTGTGAGTGAGAGGGAGAGTGAGGGATTGAGTGAGTGAGAGAGGGAGTGAGAGAGGTAGAGAGGGGCAAGGGAGGGAGGGAGGGGGAGGGTGGGGGGGCGGGGGGGATGGAAAAAGGGCGGTGAGTTTGTAGTTGGGGACAAGGTACGACCCCAGCCGCCTGCTTCCTATTCGCACCTTCTTAAACTGGTATGAGGTAGGGGAGGGGAGGGGAGAGGTGGGGGGGGTGAGATTGTGTGCGGGACAACAAATACACCTTGTAACGAGACAGCAGAGAATGCCCATAACGATACAGCAGGCACTGTTCATAACAACAGCTGAAACAGACGCAGCTTATAACGAGTCAGCACCAGAACGTTCCACTATCCGCGTGGTCGCTTGCAGGAGGCACACGACACCCTCGTACAGGTTGTCGTTTAACGAGTCACCCACACATGCTTGTAACGAGACAGCTTACCACTACCCGCGTGGTCGCCTGCAGCAAGCACACAACCCCCTCGTACAGGTTGTCGTTTAACGAGTCGCCCACAAACGCAATCACAGTGTTCCGCATCTTCTTCAAAAACCTCTTGCCGTTGAACCTGGAAGCGGGAGGGGGCGGAAGTGGGAGAGAGGGGGAGGGGAGGCACGAGTGTGATTACAACGGGGATGTGACTGTAAGGGGGTAGGGAACAGGGTGTGATTGTATGTTTTGTACGACGCTTGAGCCTCCCTCAAATTTGACGATCACCACGCAAAACCGTTGCTGCTCCAACCCCTCTTTTCCCCGTCACTAGCAACACTCCTCCTATGTAGCCTAAGCCTACTAACAGTTCCCAATACAATTCCCCCAACCACTCCTCCCCAATACACGCTCCCACCCCCACAAACGGCTTCCCTGTCACTTCCCCACTATCCATCATCCCCCCAATCACGCACACTCCTCTCCACCACTCCTAACCATTCCCCTCCCAATCACGCACACTCCTCTCCACCACTCCTAACCATTCCCCTCCCAATCACGCACTCCTCTCTCACAGTCCTATTTATCCCCCCCCCAATCACACACTTCCACGTGTAGTAGTTGCAGGGCGGCGCAGGCACCCAGACGTAGTTGGAGGGGTGCTCCTTCCCAGCAGGCACGTTGGCGCAGCTGAAGTGCTGCGAGCAGTTTAGGGGGTATGGCACCCGGTACCCGGGTATCTTGGAAATGTGCACCCAGCTGAGCAGGGTGGTTTGGGAAATTGTACGCAGTGATCGGCGGTACGGGGTTGCGCAGAAGAGAGGGGGGGGGGGAAGGGGATGGTGGGGGGAGGGGATGGTGGGGGGAAGGGGGAAGGTACGAGAAGGGAGAGGGGGAGAATTGACGTGATGGTGAGTGGAAGGGAGAGGAGCTGGGAAGTAAAGGGCTGCGAGGAGAAGAGGTCATGCGAAATGGGAACGAAAAGCCAAGCGAAGAAGGGCGAAAGGGACGAAATTTATCGATGGACAAGCGAAATTCATCAGACGAATTTGCTGGCGATTTCACAACTGCAAGCACCCACGTCGTGCCGCCTATTCGCGGATTGCCGCTGCTCACCTGCCCTTGCGATAGTCGCAGCCGGCCGCTTTCGAAGCCTTATTTTTCGCCTGCAGCCGTCGCGTGCGCCTGTCGCCAGTGAGCAGATACGCGAGCGTCGCTTCCGGCGAAAGGGTCGCGACGGGCGACGATGACGACAGTGCTGACAGGGAGTCAACGTGCGACCAAATCTGACCGTGCGACTCTGCGGCTGCTCCTGCTGCGACGCCGTCGCACAGCAACGAAGCAGCGACCAGCACTACAAGGGTAGCTTGAGCTATCGCGACTAGAAAGAAACCTAGATTGTGTCGTCGCGAGAATTGCGCGCTCCAACTCCGGTCATTGCGGCGGAAATTGCGGAGGACGCTGAAATGCCGCCTTGCTTGCCGCTTTTGGATTGGTAGAGCCGATGCCGAAACATCCATTTCCGCCGCGAACGTTTGCGATGGCCGTTGAGCCATCTTGCGAGTTTTGCCACGGTTCGCCAAGAACAAAGGGACAAACGGCCTTCAATCTCCAAACGACGAGGAGAGCTTATACGAAACGATCCCACAGCGTTTCAAGTGACTCACTAGGTGACCTAGTGTTAATCCCTAACGACCACACTGAAGCCAGCGTCTAGCGTGCCCACTGTATCCAATCTCCCGAAGCGGTGCGAGAAAGACTCGCCCGGGCGCAGGAGTTGCGAGAGAGTCTCGTTCGAGCCCTTCACCCTTAGATGCTCTTACCGCAACGTGCTGGCATGGATGCGGCGTCTAAGACCCGGGGCACACGTTGTAGGCGCAAAATCGGCGCCGCTGGCAGCATGTTGAGCCCTGAAGGGGCCCTACGGCGAATTACAGGTTTTTCGGCGAGAAACGCGTTCTTACTTGTCTACAAACACACGACGATTTTAGGAAACGAGCTTCATGGGAACTGCTGCAAATTGTTTTGAGGCGCCTCAAATTGTTTTGGTAACTTCTATCATGCTGCAAATTGTTTCTGGGACTGGAGAACTCCCGCGCGTACCCTTGAGAGTCGGCGCTAGCGTCTAAGGATTGAGTAAGGCCAACTACTACTTTGGTAAACGCCTTCAGAAACCAGGATTTTGCGGACTAAGAAAAAGCATCCATGCCGTTTTTCCGTGGACGACTAGGATGGTGAACTACTAGTGATTCACTTGACGCCTACGATGGAGTAACGAGGGCGGCGAGAGGGAACGAGTACGCGAAGTGAGGTGCATAGGCTTTCCCGTGACCGACATAGATAGTCTAACCAAGGGTGAAGTAACACTGCTTCAGTTGACGCGCGCTGCGGTGCTAAGGAAGGCGGCGAGCGGGAACGAGTACGCTAAGTGAGGTGAAGCGCCAACACTGCTAGTCATCGCCACGACCCAAGTGAATCCCAGTCACCGTCGTCCGTTCGGTTCGCCGTACCAGAGAGCGTTGGACTGTATTTTTGGACCAGCAGCAGTCGAGCTGCGAAGGTGGGGAGGGGAGACGGGTTTCTGGGCGTGGACGGTCAAGACGGACCCCGCGCTGGGAGTGGAGCTAGGCTGGGCTGCGGAAAGAAGGCGGAGGTACGGGATGCGTAAGTGGAGTCGCTCTGCGCTAACCCTTGTCACCCCAGCCGTCAGCCGCTGCGTGATGCTACTAGTAGGGCTGGAAGGGCTTGGCCTGGCCTGGCTTGGAAGGGATGTGTTTGGCAGGGGAATTGTTGGGATAATGGGAAAGGAAAGGGAAGGACAGGGATGGTTTGGGTTGGAAGGAGTGAGTGAGGGAGGGGCAAAGCGGCAGAAAGGTGGCGTCTGTTGTGGCGAGGGGGGAAAGAGGCTGTTGCGCGTGAAACGTGGTGGTGCAAAAAAAGCGCGGGAACGGACGAAATTTACGATCTCGAGTCGCGGGATCCCAGTGGAGTTCCGCCGCGCGGTGCGGAAAGCTCGACAGATTTGTGGATGGGGCCGGGCCGGGTGGTGTTCGGCAGACAGGCAAGGAGGAAGCCAGGCTGGATGGAGTCAGACGCTTCGTTATTGAATACTGCTGTTCACGTACAGAGACAAAACACTTTGAAGCGCAAAACAGCATCCTCTAAAATTTCATTTCCTCAAGAACCTTTGCCGGACCTGAACTAGCCACACAGCCTCCACCAATGGTTGCGGGGCGGAGATTCCTCCAAGCAGAGTGGCCTGTTGGGGAACCCTTTCCAAAGGTTCCGGGCTTTCTTCCCCTCGGGTTGGGCAGATCCCGTTTGCCGAAGCGTCCCCAGCGTCGAACCACGCTGTGTTGTGTGCCATGCTGGAAGGGAAAGTTGTATTGGCAGGCAGTGCTTCGCCAGCTCCCGTGCAGCAGCGCCGCTGCCACGTGGAATCGCAGCTCGTCACGGGGCCAGGAAGCACGTCACAGTCCGCCCGCTGGAAAGATCTTCCTCCTGCATTCCCGGGTTTGCCCAAAAAACAGGGCCAGCTCAGAATTCCCTGACCTGATGGGCATTGGCATGGGATGTGAAAATGCCTTGGTCATCTTGGTCAGGCATCTTGGACATCCATAAAGAGCCTGACAAATATTTTCCAACCAACTCTCGCTTCTGTACGTGAAGCATTTACTTTGCTATACTTCCAGCCAGTTTCCCCTCGTCTCAGGTAAATCTAGTTTCTAGAAGCCTTACCTCCCGTCGATCGTGTTTTATTCCCAGCCAGCGAGAATCTCACCAGTTTCTTGCCGTTCTCTCCGCCAATTTCTGTCGTTCTTCCTGCCAGATCCTTTACGCTCTCTCCGTCAACTAGCCATGGGTAAGCGTAGATCCATTCTCGTTTCAAGGCTTTTGATTCATCGTAATATGATGCTGATGATCGTTTCTTGATCTCGTGTACTGTCTGATGTTGCCCCCTCCGTCGATCCAGCCCCCGTCAAGATCGGCATTAACGGTGCGTTGCTGATTCTATAGCTCACTTTTTATCTCGAATGGATTAAGCAGTTTCAGATCACTTACGTAGACGTTTATTGTTGCAGGATTCGGCCGCATTGGCCGTCTCGTCGCCAGGGCTATCCTCAAGCGTGACGATGTGGAGCTGGTCGCTATCAACGACCCCTTCATTGACACCACCGTACGTCTGGAAACTTTAGCTTGTGGGAAGATTCGGCCACGTCATTTCTTAGTAGCTGGATATGCAGTTCTATCCTCCTGACACACGCGGGACCAATTATTTATGTGCAGTACATGGTGTACATGTTCAAGTACGACACCGTCCACGGCCAATGGAAGGGTGATGTCTCCAAGAAGGACGACGAGACCCTGATCTTTGGCGGCAAGGAGGTCAAGGTCTTCGCCAAGAGGTACGATTTTCTCTTTTGAATATTTAGCGTTTCGGCAGCAGTATCACTTTTGGATCTGCTCGTCAAGAATCATGTCTGGGCAATGTTTTTGACTGTTTTAATATTCTGTTATGCAGGGACCCTGCTGAGATCCCCTGGGGCTCGGCTGGTGCCGACTACGTCGTGGAGTCCACTGGCGTCTTCACCGCCAAGGACAAGGCCGCTGCCCATCTCGTCGGTGGCGCCAAGCGCGTTGTCATCTCCGCTCCCAGCGGTGACGCCCCGTACGTGCCGCTGAACTAGCAATGCATCTAGAATGCCCTACGTTCTCCTTGCTTCATGTGATCAACAATGTTGTTGCGGGGTTATCTGTGCAGGATGTACGTCATGGGCGTGAACCACACCGAGTATACCGCCGACCAGAACATCATCTCCAACGCCAGCTGCACCACCAACTGCCTTGCCCCTCTTGCCAAGGTCCGTCTGACTTGGCTGAAGGGCTCTGTTGCTTCGTGAACCTTCGTTCGACATTATATCCTGCTGACCGGTGTAATGACATTTCGGTGTGCAGGTTATCAACGACAAGTTCGGCATCGTTGAGGGTCTCATGACCACTGTCCACGCCGTGACTGCCACCCAGAAAACTGTCGACGGCCCATCCAACAAGGACTGGCGCGGTGGTCGTGGTGCTGGCTTCAACATCATTCCCAGCGGCACTGGTGCTGCTAAGGTACGTGAATCCTGATCTCGCGGAACAGTAGTTTCGTGCGCCGGTATGATCTACACTGACCGAGTGCTGATGTCTCCGTTCAGGCCGTCGGCAAGGTTCTCCCCGCCCTCAACGGCAAGCTCACTGGCATGGCCTTCCGCGTGCCCACTGCCGACGTGTCCGTGGTCGACCTCACCGTCCGGTTGGAGAAGGGTGCCAGCTATGACGACATCAAGGCTGCTCTCAAGTAAGTCAACGCAGTCATTTGATGCCGGAACGAACAAGATTCCAGAAGTGTGAAACTAAAAGATTCTTCTTTGGGTGTCAGGGCCGAGTCTGAAGGCGCCCTGAAGGGCATCCTCGGTTACGTGGATGAGGACCTGGTGTCCGCTGACTTCATTGGCGATGACAGGTATAGTTTCTTTCCATTCTAGCTTGGGGTTTCCCATTCTCGGGTGGGTTGCGGAGATTCATCTGTGCCCGTTTCCTATTTCAGGTCGAGCATCTTCGACGCCAAGGCTGGTATTGCCCTGAACAACAACTTCGTGAAGCTGGTGTCGTGGTACGACAACGAGTGGGGATACAGGTGCGTGCCATGAGATGACTTGACGCCTCATCCACTATCACTCCGCATTTCGTAATTGTCTTCTGACGTTCTATCATGGCTGTTTCCCTCCCTTGCAGCAACCGCGTCGTGGACCTCATTGTCTCCACCTCCAAGGTTGTCTAAACGAAGCGCGTGCTGTGCTTCCGTTAGTTCAGCGTATGTTAGACTTATATGAATGCTCTTGCCATGGAACTTCATTTTAGTGAAATTTCGTATTGGCAAGCTAATTTCGGCAACCACGTCCTCCTGAGCCGCGCTTCTGTCTCCTGCCTTCAGGTCACTGGATCGAAGGTAAAAGCTGTCACAGACACCGAGCGCAACGTGAGGATGAAGATGATAGCTAATGCTTGATGGTACCGGTATCTTGGCAAACAAAATCAACATATATTCGTCAATTTTGCAACGAAAATACTAGTGACTGGGAGGAAAGGAATTGAATGGGAACGTGTTGTAGGCCTGAATCCCTGGCGTAGCTACAAGAACATCTCTCGGTCTGAAGCAGATTGCTGAGATTTGCTGATATGTTTCATCAACGGACTGTAGCATGAGGCCATGGTTAACCCAAACTCTGATTCCTGGAGCTGAGGATGACTTGTCGATGCTCCGTGTGAGGTGAAAACGTTTGGTCAGACATATGTATTTTTTCCTTCACCACCCTCTTCACCATTGCTTGGCCCACTGGGAGCAGAGAGCCATAACGCCGGCATAAAGGGTTTATCACTGTTGGGCTGAGAACACCCACAAAGTCACAGAGGGATCATTCCACTATCACTTGGCCAATGAAATTGTTCAACAGGCTGCCTAACACAAGCTCCTTCACGCCTTCAATCTCCCGGGCACTCGTGAACCCCCCCACATGCTTCGCAGTCGGATCATTGAGAAATTTCACAACCTGCCCGTCTTCGCTGACCGCCAGCACAGCGCCAGCGTGGCGCATCAAAGGAGAGAGGTAGGGCGGCTGGAGGTACTTAATTGGCAGTAAGCCAATAAGGGCCTTGAGGAAAGGGAAGGGATGGATCAAGTCCGTCACAGTCTGCCTAGGCTGCAAGGTGGTACAGGAGGTGGAGAGGGGGGAAGAGAGGGGGGAGGGAGGGAGAGTGGCGGGGGGAGAGGTGAAGAGTATGTGCGGAGCAGCAGGGGGGAAATAACGACAGAGGCAAAAAAAAGGGCTGGAAAACAGTTACTAGACAGGGAATAGGCCAACGTGGGCCTTCAGTAGAGGGCGGTTTTTTCACGGATGAAAGGCAGGATGACACGTTGCCGTGTGCATATTTTCCTTACAATGACAAGGCACACCCAGAAAATCCCCTTCCCATTGCTGTTGATATTGTCTGGTGACCCGGGCAGGTTGTCCAGGAAGATTTCCGACGTGCCCGCCTTCGGTCCTTTGAGCCAATAGCGGGTCAGGCGATACCTGAAGAAGGGAGCGGTGCAGGAGATACCGGTAGCTCAGGTAAATGGACAGCTGTGTCAGCAAAAAAACCTCAAACAACGCTGAATTGAACAAGATGTGGAGCTCCATATGATTCTCCCTTCACTCACCTGCTGGTTTCAGCGACCACAGCAAAGTCTTCATTCTGTGACAGCGCCACGCCATTCGCAAAGTACAGCCCATCCAGAAGCGTCTCCGCCTCGATAGGCCCCGCCTCGCTCGCAGGTTCTGGCGTGGCAGTCGCTGGCCCGGCATGCCCATCCCCTCCATGACGCGACACATCGCTCAACTCTCCTATCTCCTCCTCCGGGTTGACTCGCTTCTCTTCTGGCCTGTTCGGGTTGACTCTCAGCAGGCGGCCGTGGGGCCTCTGCTCCAGGATGTCAAGGAAGAAGTGCGAGACGGGAAAGCGCGAGGAAGCATCCGAGAAGTAGATCGTGCCATCGCTCGCCACGTCAGCATTGTCGGTAAGTCTGAGTGGAGGGCAGGGAAGGGGTGCGGACTGGTAAGAACGAGCAAAGATGTAGAAAAAGAAAAAGAAAGAAAGCGCTGTACCAGAAGTGCAAGGGCATTAGAGAAGGCGGGATGGACGTTGGAAGGAGGGGATGGAGGGCGAGAGCAGTGGGATGGGACGGCCATGGCAACGGCCTAGTAGCGCCAGACCTGAATGGAGTTCCGTTGGATGAGTTGGAAACGAGGCGGACGAAGCGAGTTTCCACGTCCACTAGGAGAAGACCCTGGAGAAGGGTGGTAGGAGAGAGGAGAGAGGATAGAGGATAGAGGAGAGGGGCGGGGAGAGAGGAGTTAGGAGAGGGAAGAGAGGAGAGGTACGCGGCACTGGAGAGACGTGCACCGACGTGCATTCACTTCTCCATATGCACAAGGAGAAGACCCTGGAGGAGGGCGGGGAGAGAATAGGAGGGGGGAGGGAGGGAGAGAGAACAGAGGCGAGAGAGAGATGCCAGCTGCGGCATCTCGTGCAGAAAGCACGCTTGCGCATATCCTGCCTTACTTGAAACCCCTCCTCCATACAGTACCTTATTAAAGCTTACCTTAGTTGCCTCGCACACTACTAATTCCCGCCCATCCTTCCGCCACGCAAGCCCCAGCGGATGCCCGCCTACGTGCACCCAATCACGAGGCTCCCTGTCACCCTTCCTCAGAATCTTAATCCATCCACTCGCGTCGCTCGAGTACAGATTCCCCTCGGCGTCAGGAAGGACGTCTTCCGGACCGCGAACCTTCCCTAGAGCTAGTTTCTTAACGGCCAGCAGACGGTCGTTAGCGGCGAACGGCCCGACAGGAGCGGGGGGCGGAGGAGGGTGGAAGGGGAGTGGACGGAAATCGTTGGATTTGAGGACGGACTGCAAGCCGACAAATACGGCGAGAAGGACGGCAGCTAGAGTGCCGAGAAACGTGGTGACTGCCATGGCGGGTGCGTGTAGCGGCAGCAGCGTGCTCCGATCACCTTGAGATACGAATGAATCCTATCTGATCAACTTGGGCTACGAATGAATCCTACGGCTACTAAAGAAGCTCCATCCACGCACTAATCACGCGCTGCTGCCAGCAAATGGCGGACTGCCGATCACTTCCGACGGCATACTGATGTTGAGGGTGATCAATAGCCTTCTGCCGATCGCTTGGCCAGGATACTGCTGATCACATTTGATGGCGCCTTGGCGAGGGGGAGCCTTCTGCCAGGCGGGCTCAGTTCGGTTACAAACTAAGGATGGCGAAGGATGGCGTGCGCGAGGTTTGGAAATTGGGAATGCGAAGGGCGTGTGATTCGCTGGCGAAAACGACGAAGAGCTTGGACCCCAGACAGGTGTGTTACGGCATCCTCAATGCTGCTAATATGCGTTAACATTATATTGAGCTACTCCGTTCCGTAAGCACACACGTGGTTTGAAATACCGTTATCCCCTGTATGTAGTACCATATGGTGGTAATAAAAATTCATCAGAATTTTGGGGTGGGTGGAAATAAAGGCAATTTTCGTATAACACCCAGGTGTCAACATATATTTGTATATGTTATAGGCTAGATAGGTGCATGCTCATAGAGAGTGCAACACCTTAGGACAAAACCACCTTGTATCACACATTCTATACTAATCCGTTACTCTGAGATGGTATCACGCTAGGTTAGATCCTCCCCGCCCACCCGCGCTTCCGCCCTAGTCCTAGCCCTAGCCCTAGCCGCCCGTCGCTAGCCGCCCGTTCCTAGCCGCCCGTCGCTAGCCGCCGCTGCTAGCTGCTCGCCGCTCACTGCCGCTGGCCGCCCGTCGCCTCGTGCCGCTCGTGGCCGCCAGCCGCCTGTCGATGCTGGCCGCCCACGCCGCCAGCTGCCCGTATCCACCAGCCCGCTGGCCGCCCGTAGCCGCCAGCCGCCCGTAGCCGCTGGCCGCCTGTAGCTGCCAGCCGCTTGTAGCCGCTGGCCGCCGCCCGTAGCCGCCAGCCGCCTCTTGCCCACTGGCCCCACGCTCGCTCGGCGGCCCTAGCGTGCCGGCCTTCGCGTCGGCCCCTACGTGCTGGCCCCTACTCGCCGGCCTCTGCTCGCCGGCCCCTGCTTGCCAGGCCCTGTTCGTCGGCCCCAGTCTGCTCCGGCTCCAGCTCCAGCCGGCCTCTGCTCGCCGGTCCCTGCTCGCCGGCCCCTGCCGCTCCGGTCCCCATCCGCCTTGCCACTGCCAGCGACCACTTTCTTAGTCAGCATCCAGGTGACCTCACCCTTACCACCTTTGTCACCGCCTTTGTCACCGCCTTGTCCGCGAAGAGACCCCGCCGCGACCTCACCGCCTTTGTCACCGCCTTGTCAGGGTAAGGGCCGCCGCCCCAAGGGGGGGCGTGGCGGAGGGAAGGGTGGTGGGGGTGGTCGGGGTGGCGGAGGTGGCAGAGGTGGTGGCGGGGATGGTGGTGCAGACGAGGGGACCAGGGCTGATGCCCCGGAGCAGCAGCAGCAGCAGTCTCAGCAGCAGTAGCAGCAGTCGCAGCAGCAACAGCAGCAGAAGCCGTGGGGACCCCCGCCGTCGTGGTGGCCTGGCGGCGCTGGTGTCGGTGGTTGTGGTGGTGGGCAACGCAGCTCGGTGTCGGATGGCGGCTCTAGTGTGATCACCTGCCAATACCAGTTTCAGTCCGGCCCCCGCCACGGCACCGTCTGCAACCGTCCCTGTCACACCGCCACCTCGACGACCTTTTCCGTCTCTGCTTCGGCCCCGCATTAGAACCCCCCGACAGGTATAACGTGGTGGGTCATCGTGCCCTTTTTTTTGAGCTGGATATCGATCATATTACTTCTGTTACAGTATGTATGTCATGTATGCGGATACCTCTAGTGTGACAGGACCCTATTACCGTATGTTGCCTAGCATAGGTGTGCCCCCTGTGTGTAGTCTAGGCTCCTCTGCTGCGTCAGGCGTAGGACCACCTGCCTTGTTTAGCCTTGGCTCGACTCTAGCTCCTCCGCCTGCGGACGCTACCGCCACGCTCTCTTTACCACTCGACTCTGGTGCATCTGCCTGCTTCTTTCACGACTACATTGCGCTCACGCCGCTTGCCGCCCCTGCAGCTGTAGTGCTTGCTGACCCCTCCTCAGGTCCGGTAATTGCACGTAGCTCCACTACCCTTCCCTGTCCGGCGGTTCCCTCGGGCTCTCTTAGAGGCTTGCACATCCCCTCGTTCTCCAGGAACCTAGTTAGTGTCGGCTGTCTTCAGGACCTCGGTGTCACCACTACGTTTCCTGGACACGAGCGGTATGCAGTCTGTGTAAGAAATAGAGTTGAAATGATTGATTAGGTAAGGAGCCCAAGGCTCTATAAGTACATGGCAAGGTGAGAGAGAATGGATGAAGGGGGAATTGGAGGGAATCCCCATTGGGATCTCCGGAATCTCCAATTGGGTAATTGGAGATTGGGAGGATCACAATTGGGTGAGGTTGGAATTTGTGAGTACACCCCAACCCACTAGAACATTCACAACCTAAACTAGGATATAAAAGTACAAATACAAAAGTGGTATTTGCAGTCTATTTCTAACACACCCCCATAGACTGCAAACCCGGTCAAGGAGCACATAGCCCCATGGAACGGAGAAGGCGATGGTGGTCAGCCTTGCCGAGAGCCTTGGTAAAGAGGTCGGCGAGGTTGCAATCTGAGGCGATGTACCGTTCCGTCAGCTGGTCACTCTGAACAAGATCTCGGATGAAGAAATGACGAAGTTCGATGTGCTTGGTGCGAGAGTGGAACACAGGATCCTTGGTGAGATGAATGGCACTCTGGTTGTCACACCACAGGGTGGGCGACTGCTGGGGGTAGCCTAACTCAGCGAGGAGAAAGGAGAGCCAGCGTGCCTCTTGAGCAGCCATTGTGCCCGCGTAGAGCTCGGCCTCGCAGGACGACAGGGAGACTGCAGAGGACCGAGTGGAGCGCCAGCTGATGACTCCGCTACCAAGGGTGAAGCAGTACCCTTGGGAGGAGCGTCTGTCAGTCTGGTCATCGGCCCATGAGGAGTCTGTGTATCCCTCGAGCTTGACTGGAGAGGTACCACCAAGAGTGAGGATGTGAGACTTGGTGGCTTGTAGATAGCGGAGGACCCTCTTGGCTGCAGACCAATGCGAGGCAGAGTAGCGTCCGAGGCAAACGTACCGAGAGAGGACACTAACCGGGTAAGCCAAGTCTGGTCGAGTGCACATCATGGCATACATGAGTGAACCGACTAGCTCAGGGTACGGGTCCTTGCAGGCGTCAGGAGAAGGAACTGGAGGGGCCGTGAGCTGATGCTGTAGTGGGAGTGGAGTGGAGACAGAGTTACTGGAGTCCATGTCAAACCGCTTGAGAAGGTTGTCGATGTAGGACTCCTGGGAGAGGGTGATCGTGCAAGCCTGGCGGTCACGAGTGATCTCCATCCCCAGGTAGTTCTTGAGGTCACCAAGATCCTTCATGAGAAGGGCGGAGCTGAGAGCAGACTGGACAGCTGCCATGTCGGCTGGATCTCTGGCGGCTAGAATGAAGTCGTCGACGTAGACGAGGATGTAGAAAGGCTCGGAGGAGTGACGAACGAAGAGACTGGAATCTGAGGCAGAGGGATGGAAGTCAAGTGCGAGGAGGACTTCCTTCACCTTGTTGTGCCACTCACGAGGAGCCTGCTTGAGGCCATACACTGGGCGCTTCAGCTTCCACACTGTATTGGCAGGGTAAGTGCCAGGAAACCCCGGTGGGCGTTCCATGTGAACATCCTCCTTGAGCTGGCCTTGGAGAAAGGCGGAGGAGGCGTCCATGGACTTGATCTCGAAGTTGCCGCGAGCGGCTATATCAAGAAGAGCGCGCACAGTCGGGAGCTTGGCCGTGGGCGAGAATGTTTCGAAGAAGTCGAGATACTCCTTCTGGGTGAAACCCTTCGCCACGTATCGTGCCTTGAACAGTGGAGCTTCGCCTGGGAGTTGTTTGACTCAAAAGATCCATTTTCCGCCGACGATGTTGACACCGGAAGGGGGAACAACATCGTCAAAGCTGTTGTTGCGAATGAACGCCTCGTTCTCCACATCCATTGCTGCCTTCCACTCCTTCTTATAAGGCCCCGAGAGAGCTTCCTCTTTTGTGCGAGGAGTCGGAATGGTCGGGTTCTCGGTGAAGTTGAGGGAAGGGCAGTCAGTAATGTCCGGGAAGATGTGAGAGAGAAATGGGCAGACCGCGTGAAGGTCAAACAGCTCCTCATGCCTGTCCTCCAGAAGTGCACGGGGGGGAATACGAATGGAGGGGACATCACCCCCGGCAGGAGGAGGCGGGGTGACCGAACACCGGATGGAGAAGGCGGCTGGTCCTCAGGTGAGAGGCGGAGCCGGTCCCTTGGAACGAGTGCGACTAGAGACCGGAGACGAAGGCGGCTGCGGTGGGACCGGAGGGACTGGGCGCCTCCGATAGGAGACTGGTGAGCCGGGCTCAACGCACGGGGAAGGCGGAGCAGGAGGAGGTGCCGCTGCGGAGGATACTGGGGAGGCCGGGTGAGACACGCCGGACGGAGAAGGCCCCGGAGAAGGGGCAGCGGCCGGAGATGGGGCATCGAAGTCTGCCCAAACAAGCGTCGGGGGAGGTGGAGGAGGCTCGCCCGTGGTCGCAGAGTGGAATGGGCGTGTCTCATCGAAGACAACATCACGGCTGCGTATCAGCTGTCTGGTGATTGGGTTGAGGAATAAGTAGTCTGGGGAGTCGGAGTTGTGCCCCAGGTACATCCAGGTCTGGGTTTTGGGACCAAGCTTGCCACCTTGCTTCCTGCGCGTGTGGGGGCTTAGCAATACATATGCGGTACACCCCTAGACGCGTAGAGAGCGGGCGAAAGGCGTGACCCCAAGCCAGAGAGCGGTAGGTGTGGTGTCGGGCCGGTGGGGATGCGGATAAAGATTGTAGAGGAGTGCCGCATGGAAGAGGGCATATCCCCAGAATGACCGTGGTGCGTTGGCGTGACTGAGGAGGCAGCGAGCGATCTGAACCAATGTGTGGTTGCGGCTCTCTGCAATGCCATTCTGCTGCGGGCTTTCGGGGAGCGTGAAGGTTTGCCGAATCCCTTGGGCCGCACAGAAGTTATCGAGTTTGCCATTGCGAAATTCTCCCCCGCCATCAGAATGGAGGCA